CCTCCAAAAATTAAAATACTGGGAATGCCCCTAATAAGAGTTCAATATTTATAATATGAAAAATTCAAAAGCATTCTTGAAGGAAATGAAAATTTGAAAATCCCTCGAGGAAGAAATGTGCTTATCCAATGGAAGAATCAGATAAACATTAATCAATATTCCTAAGATGACACTGCTACCTAAATTGATCTCCAGATACAGTCGAGTCTCTGCGAGAACGTCACGTTGAAACGTGAGGTTGCGAGTAAACATGCAGTTGGCAGAGTTGCCGCTCATTCATCCTGTGCTGGGGCTTCCAGAAAACCGCGCTGGATTCCAAGCGCCAGCCCTGCGCTCTGTGCACAAGTTACACCCAGATGCTAGTTTCCAGCACAACAAAACGATATCAAACCACACCAGACTCGGGACGCCTCTGCGTGCGGTCCCCCAACCCCCAGGCGGTTGCCTTGCCTTTTGCTGTCCTCGTTTTGTGAGAGTGAAAGAGCCCCTTTTACAATTGAGTTTAGTAAGGGCTAGAAACATATTGGAGATGAAGTCTTGCCATGTGCAGCCCCGTTTTTGTGTGTGTGAGAGCTCAGATTTAAAAGCCGAGAACTCTGGATTTGAACACTGTGGGTTTGTTAGCCTTCCAACTCGAGGGATTAGTTTTCGGATTGAGTTGCCACCTGGAAGGGAAAGTTGTTGGTCTCCTGACTAAGTCAGTGTGTGCTGAGATTCACGGCCCAGTCGTGCAAGCGTGGTTCTGCGGATTCCAGTGGAACAGTCCTCTTGATTGTATTTTCCGAACCGTGAATTGGTTTGGAAAAGCTTTCAAGTGTTCCCAGGGGATCTTTTATTGGAGGGAAATACGAGTTTTCTCAGCTCTGTGTCCCCCTAAATGGTTTCAAATGGTCTTTTCAAAACAAAACAAAACAGAACACAAAACCAAGGCTGCCACTATAAATACATGAAGGCCAGAAGAGCAGCATGACCCATGAAAAACTTAAAATATGGTTTTAAATTTAACCCAAATTCAGCAGGATATTAGGTAAGATAAGTATAAATTGCATCACTAACACCTTTGGTCTTCATTTCTGTTTGTTTGGATTAGGAAAGGTTTAACACTGATAAGAGAGAGTGTGTGTGTGTGTGTGTGTGTGTGTGTGTTTATGGAGGCATAAAAGTGGGTAAAATAGTTTTTGTTTTGTTTGACTCCTTTACCAACACTTGACCTTTTGGTAGTGGCAGCAGCTGTATTTTTTTCTTAGCCCGATTCTTTGAAATGGAAATTTTTTGGGGTATGGGGCCTTAATTACAGTCTTGAGCCAACTGGAGAAAACCCCAGTCATCCTACATTTGGGTTGTGGATCAGTGTTACTTAAGCTGATTTGAGTTTAAGTTGAGTTTTTCTGAAATGTCAGCTGTTCCAGCTGGAATGATTTGCTATTTGTAAATTGTTGATATTGCTTTGCAGAAAGAAAAAAAAAGATAATGTAGAAAATCACTTTGCAGCATAGTATCAGTTCAACTGTTTCACTAAGTTTCTTATGAGCTGTTGAAAATATAAGTGCTTTTCAAATGTCATTTTAATACATTTTTTTACACCTGAAAGTTTAGATGAAATTGAAATTCATACAATTTTTTAGTGAATGGCAAGAACTTGTAACTTGTAACTTATTTTAGGATCAAATAAAGCGGATGTTCTGGATGAAGTTTGGTTCAAGGTGTTCTGGAGCTGGTAGAAGGTCTTCGGGGCCAGTTCCTTCATCTCCACTAGGGAATCAATCAGAGGGTACCGGTGGATAACTCACTTGCCCAGGCGCTCAGAGTGAATGAGCACCGGGTGGGGGGGTGGGGGGAGAGGGGGCAGGGGAGAGGGGTTATGTCCCAGGTGCTCTTCCTGCAGCTACCATGATGAATTTTGGACTAGGTGTTAGTTTCCCAGTTAGGGCGGTGGTAAATTACCACAAACTCCTAGCTTAAAATAAATTTCTTCTCATGGTTCTGGAAGCCCGAAATCAAGGGGTCAGCAGGGCCACGATCCTTCCAAAACCCCTCTGAGGATCCTTGCTTCAGACCCTCATTGGATTCTGGCAAATCCACCCCAGTCTCCGCCTCTGTCCCCACGTGGCCTTCTTCCCTCTCCGTCTCAAATACTCTCCTTTCTCTTATGAGGACACCAGCTGTTGAATTTAGGGTCCACCCTAAGTCCAGGATGAACTCATCTCGAGATTCAGAACTTAGTTACATCTGCAGAGACTCTGTTTCCAAATGAGGTCACTTTCAAAGTTACCAGAAGTTAGGACTTGAACATACCTTTTTGGTGTCCACTGTGCAAGTCAGTGCAGAATATAAATATCAATAGAGTCTTTCTTCACCAGGAACTTGGGGAGGTATTTGGGGAGAAAGACTCATGAAGAAGTCTCAGAACATATGGTAAATGTTCTACTATTGGGGTGCACATATAGCAAAAGAAATCCAGAGCAGGGCAGGGCAGCCAAGACCTCCTTGTGGGATGGGATGGAGGATCTGAAGATCCTGATCCAATTTGAAGAAGATGAGAAAGATAATTGTAGAGGAAATGGTGAGGGGAGGACATGAGGGCATGGAAGGTTGGCGACCCCAGCATGCCCACCTGCTTGGAGAGAGCAGTGTGGCTTGTGATGCTATGGATGCTGTGCCTTTGATGTTGCTGGAATGTCAGTGGCAAGTGTCCACTGCCCACTGGTCAGAGGGGAGGCAAGAGGGACCAGTGGGAGAACCGGTAGGCCCTCTGGTTTGTGTTTTAATCTCTTAGGTGTGGCCAGCTGTTTTCAGTGGAAAATGGATGGGAATCGAGAGGATAGCAAGGATAAGATAGAATTAATTTATGTATTTTCATAATGAAAAATAAGACTATTTCCACAGAGCGGATGAACTGGACTTAAACGTAGCCTGAAGTGCAGTCTTTTCAACTGTCTTCGTGAACAACACTCACTCCCAAAGCCACATTCACAGAGAGTTCTAGCAGAAATTCTTGGCATGACCACACTTGCTCTTTGTATCTCATGTAGCCTTTTGGATTAAAGGATTAAATTGCATTCATTATTTTTGGGCACATATTGAATAAAAACTTAACCACATTGCATTGAACATTTTTGTTAGGAGTATTGTAAAAAATTTTTAAATTTCCATGTTTTATGTGAAATGCTGCTCAGTATTTTCAGTTTAAAAAATTCTGAGGACTTCAGTGATAGAAAGTTGTACACATTTAGTGCTTGCTTTTCCACATGTTAAGTTCTTCCTCAGGATGCTGCATAGTGATTGTAGACAAAGGATTTAACAACAATTATTTATGATTTGTCAGGTAACTTAGGGACAAAGTCCAGGTTTTTCTCAGATATTTTAACAGACTAAAATAGTGCATGAGTTTTGGTGTTGACTTTATAAAATGTTATGTTTGTTTTCTATCAAAAAACTGATCATTGGACATCCCTGGTGTTTCCGGCTGGGTGCCAGGTACACAAAAGGAATGCATTAACCCAGGTGGGGAAAATGGATTTGCACCGACGAAGAAGGCATTTAGGGAACAATTACAGATGGTCTGTCATTAAGTAATAAATTCTGTTCTGCTGCCTGTTTCAGTGCATCAGGAAGCCCGAGAAGGGGAGAGACTGTGGGGCTGTGGAGGCCCTAGAAGATCTTGTATTTTTCTGAAGTTAGGACTTGAGCATGGCCTGAGGGAAGGAAACTATGGGATTGAACTGTGGGGAGAAACATTCCCCACAGTGAGGGGTGGTGACTGGCCCTACTAAAGTGGACCAATGGTTTCCGGAACTGTTGGTCAGACATGGTATTTAAAAGCTGGGTCTGGGAGGGTCACTTAGGGATGAGTGTGCAGCAGGGAAGAGGAGTTGGCCCCACACAAGCAGTGGAGGGCCACCGGTGAGGTGGAGAGCAGTGTGAAGAGAAATTCAGACTTGAAGAGAGGAATGGGCGCCCCAGTTGAGAGATGCTGAGAGATCAAGAACAGTAAGAACAAGGAG